GCGGTTGGAGAGGCTGTACACGCGCCGCGCGTTGGCGTCGTCGCTGTCGTAGCAGGTCATCTCCAGGGAGCTGCGGGGAGGGGACGTTAGAGCAGGGCCCGGCGGTCCTGCCCGCCCAAAAACAGCGGCTGCGAGCGCTCAAGAAATCAAACGGCCACGGGGAGATGCAGCCTGTCCTCGCCAATCCCTACTGGCGTCTCCACCACCCACCTTTGGCTCCCAATGTGCGGTGCCCGGGTGCCCCCAAGCGCTAATCCCAGAGGACGTGGCACCGAGCGGCCGTGCCAGGGAGCTGTGTGTGAGAGCATCCATGGGGACAAAGCAGGGAACGGGATCACTGTGCCGACACGTAACACCCCATCCCCGCAGAGCAACATCCCGGGTCTGAACGGGAGCCCCCGCGAGCGCCACACAGGGCCACCAGCCAAGGGGCTGCGAGGGCAGGAAGCAGAGCAAGAACGGGGCCTTGAGATCCTCCCCGCACCCCTCCAGGGGTATTTTGGGCAAACAGCAAGTCAGGGAGTGATGCAAGGCCTAAATTTAGATGCCAAAAACGATTACTTCTTGGAGCAGCTCCTCGGGAACCCACAGCCCTCGATTTGGCTCACGTTACTCTCAATGAGCTATTCCCTTGTGGCGACCGCGTTCCACTTGGATTAACCATTCCTGCAGGAGCACCAAAAGCCAAATCCTGTCTACAGCACTGAGTGTCTACAGCACTGGCTGGAAAAGACCGGAGTTGGAAAAAAACAAGGAAGTTTGTTAAAAACGGAACTAAGGGACAGCTGAAAGGGTAATGTTTTTGTAGGAAGCACAAAGGCTATTTAAAGATGTTCTAGCAGCAGCTCGGACCCGATGCAAACCACGTATCCAAACGACAATTCAGAAAGCTCCAGAGGAAGCTGGTGCAGCTCAGCAGCAGGGGAAAGAGGTTGGCCCAAGTGAGATGACCTGGTGCAAAACCAACCTTGTTCTCTAATGGGGAAACGGGAGAGAGGGCAGACTCCAAGTGTTGGAGGGACCTCAGCCTCCTTTGGCCTCCCCGCAAGATGAGGGGTCATAGGGAAGTGCCACTGGCTGGAGGAACACAAAGAGGACAACAGAAAGTTGGAGGAGTAATTCCTAAGAGGAATGAAATGGAATAATAAATCCTTTCCCAAGCATATGGGTGCAAGAAGCCAGACGGAGAGCACACAACCAAGTCGCAGGAGGATGTCCTGGGAATAAAGGTCTAACAGATGAATGAGAAGCATTTTGTGCTTCTGCGTTGGCTATGGAGGAGTCCAAGGAGTCTCCGCACTACGGCTCGTCTCTACGGGGCGCTCATCGGAGAACCTGCCTTGATTTGCAGAAGTGGTTAGAGAACAGGAACGGGAACAGCTCTGCCAAAGGTAAAAAAGGAAACCGTGGTCTCCTCAGCACAGTCACAACTGCCTCATTCCCAGAGCTGGAGGAGGCTACTCGGACACCAAAGTTGAAGAGATCCAGAGGACAACATCTGTAGTGGACAGGTTTGTTGAAACTGTCCCAAAGAACAGAATTAGAGGACACATACACCATTACGGCATCCTGGGGAGGAGACAACAAGGCTTTGGCCAGGCTCAAGTGTGTCCTGGAGCTCTGGAGGGTCTTGAGGAACACACAGAATCATGGAATCATTATGGCTGGAAAAGACCTTCAAGATCAATGAATCCAACCGTGAGCCCTTCAGCTCCACGGCTGCTAAACCACATCCCTAAGCGCCTCATCTGCATCGTGTCAGATGCTCCTTCCATGGGTCCCCTCCCGCTATCCCGTGTCCCCAGCTTCACTCCTCTGCCCTGGCCTTGGCTGCTCGCACGGCCTCATCCACGCGGTGCTTCAGCACTGCCAGGGCTGGGGCCTCCACCCATGCCCTGGGCAGCCGCTTCCAGCGTTTCACCGCTCTTTCCATGTAGAAATTCTTCCTAATGTCTAACCTGAAGCTCCCCTGGTGCAACCTGAGGCCGTTTCCTCTTGCCCTATGGGTAGTTATTCTGGAGAAGGGCTCAACCCCCGTCTCACTGCAACCTCCTCTCAGGCAGTTGTAGGGAGCGACACGGTCTCCCCGGAGCCTCCTCCTCTCCCCACTAAATAACCCCGGCTCCCTCAGCCGCTCCTCGCACGCTCTGTGCCTGGACACGGACAGGGCTCATCCACACTACGAGAGGGCAGTTAAGGAGCTCCCTCACCAAAGGCAAATTACATCTCCAAATAAACCCAGTGCCACGGAATAAGAGGGAGGATCTTCACAGGGGCAAAAGCATCGCCGGGCGATTCCCACCATCTATTAGTGGTCGGATTTCTCTGTGGTCAAAGCCACAGCTCTGCGACATGTTCACCAGCCATCAGGGAAAGGAGGTGAGAGTAAGGAGGCAAAACCCACCAGCAAATTCAATCACCGTTAATATCCTTGCCCTACTTCTCTTAGGGCTGATGGAAGATTTGCAAAGGAGTTGCCGAGCGGAGCGACGCGGCAGGAGAGCAGCGGATCAGATTTGACACAGATGAATGCAAAGCGGCGCCAGGCGAGCGCAGCGCGGGCCGTGAATCAGCTCTTATGCTGAGATCCTGGAGCTGAAGGGATAATTCCCAGAAATCGCCAGCTCAGTGAAAAGCACCACAGCCCGGTAGAAATCCCTGCCTCTCCCATTCCCTGCATGCTCAGCTCCTTCCAGCTTGGAAAAGATCTGGAAAGTGCTGCAAGGACAAGCAAGGGCTGGAACGGCTTCTGCGTGAAGAAAAGCTAAATAGAGTGGGATTTCTAATCTTGGACAAAGCTAGTTGAGGGGGGATGAGGAGGAGATCTGTAAGCATGAGCAGTGGGGTAGAAGCCTCTGCTTATTGCCCCTTGCAGCCCAAAAATGAGAGGCATCAAGAGAAGCCACGAGGTGGCAACAAACACCAGGAGATGGACGTTCACACCCTCCTTGGCACCCTGCGCGGCCTCCCTGCAAAGCCTGGGCTGCCAAACGCAGCGGCACAAGCACCCGCTGCCCATCGCCACGGCTGGAAGGGGGCTGGGGTCCCCCTTGTCACCCACTGCTCCCATTGCCAGCAGGCTCTGCGCCCTCCAGCCCCGAGGGGCACCAGACCCCTCTGTATGGGCAGCCCGGGCATTGGGCCAGCTCTGGCTGAGGAGTTGTCCAGCACCACCTCTACGGACAGGAGGGGAAACGCTGTCACACAGACGGGGGTGGTGACTGCTCTGTGGTCACATCTGTGCAGGCACCAGCGCTACCATTGCTGCTGGCTGAACACCCAAACTCAGGGAACAGGCTTCGCCCCGAACCCCCTTGCCCAGCATCTCCTGCAGCTTCCTGGGTGCCACCACCAAGCGCAGAAGATGGGACCCCAGCCCCGCCGGGATCCAGGGGCCCCCCAATGCCCCGTTGAGCAGTGTGTGGTGCTGTGCTGGTGTTGGGCCCAAGGGCGCAAGCACCAGCTCTGCCCAAGGCTGGAGACCCTCACGCTGAGCTGGCCTGGCCCCTCGTCGCTCCTCTCAGCATCAACACTGGCCCTGGCGGGTCCTTGCTGGCCAAGGGCTGGCTGGAGCTGAGGGGGCCACCTGATGGCCTCTCTTTGGGTGGCCTTTCCCCATCTGGAGGTGCCCTCCTGGGAACAGAATCCCCCCAGAAAGCTCTGGACAACCTCCCCGAGCCTCCTCTGCACTCATACAGTGTGGGACAGGGCTCACTAACTCCAGTTTTGGGGGTCCCCAGGTAGTTCCAAGCCCCTGCTCCACACAACCTGATCTGGGGGGGTCTCTCCAAGCAGCCGGGTGCAGGGTCCCCATGGCACAGGGGAGGTGCCTCCCTCTCCCAGCTCCCTCACCCGGAGCAGGGCTGCTCCCCTCGGCCCCCCTGGGCTCCATCCCTCCCGTTCAGTCCTCACCTGTGGGACACCTGGGAGCCTCTCAGGCTGGACATGGTCTCCTCCAGGTTCTGCCGCAGGTCCAGCACGTTCTGAACCGTCCTCTTCCGCTGGGATTCGGGGTCTGCGGAGAGAGAAGGACGAGGCATTAAAGGCAGCAGCTCCAGCTTCCGCATCCCTCCGGCTGCATCCCGTAATCGCAGCTTTGCGGTGAGCCCGGCCCCTCCGCAGCACGGCCGCTGCCAGCTCCTGCCCTGCAGCCTCTCCAAGCGCGGGGCTCGAGGGACAGCGCGACCCAACGGGGCTCCTGGGCTTGCAGGGGGGCTTCAAATTTGGGAACAACCAAGAAAAAAATCCAGTCCCTGCCCCAGGTGACCCCCTCGCAGCCCTCTGGCAGCGCCAGCACCAGGGACGGGAGCGCTGCCGCGAGGGGGGACAACGGCTCCCCTGGGACGGAGGGGCTGGGGG